GGGGGGGGGGGGGGGGGGGTAATAGAACCAAGAGAAAGACGCCAACTCCGCATCTTTAGGGATTTAAAGCGCTTTAGGGATTCATTTTAGGCGGGAATAAGAGGGCAATGAAAAGTTACGGGCAAAGAGGTGGGCAGGAGGGCGGGGTGTCTGCTGCTGGGATATCGATCGGTTTTGCCATACTTAACAAGTGCCCGCGGGCTCTTCCTTAGACCGACCTCTTCGCCTTCGAGATCTTAGGTGGACATCTCTACCTACACATGGACTTGGGCGAGGGACCGCTCAAGGTGCGGGCCTCGGAGGAGCGCGTGGACGACGGTACTTGGCACGATGTCGCCCTACGCCGGGTGGAGCGCGAGGGCCGCGTCGTTGTTGATGGCTCGACCTTCGAGTTCCGGCCACCGGGTAAGGATGATAATTGCAAGTATCAATGTCTTTGTCTATTATATCGAACGCACGTACATGCGCATCCCCAGTAGTGTGGAATGACTCAGCTCATGTCATCTCACGACCATCGACTACGGCAAGTACATTTACCGCTAAGATTTATTTTTCATCACTCGACACTCAGCCCTTCTTCGGCCCGGACAAATGCCTTATCGACATCGGCATTTCTTCGCTTCTTTTTACTACGTCTATACGTTTCTTCGCCGCAGCGGCGACTCTTGTTTCGCCTTTATCTCTCTCTCTCTCTCTCTCTCCCTCCCTGCCTCTTTTCACTGCTTATCCTCCCCCACCCCACCCCACTCCCACGCCTCACCCTTTTCTCACTCATTTTCTTAAAATATTGCTGCGAATGAAAGAATTTTTTTCTCAAGATACTTTAGACATTAAAATAAAAAAAATTATACTTCCAAAGCTCCAAGCTGTTGTTCGCTACGCGTGCATATCAAAGATCCCTATTTAATCTTCCAGAATAATAATTGCGTAAATATACAAGAAATGGATTATATAAGGACATAAAGTTAAATTAATGTACATAGTTAATGAATGCACCATTTCAAGGACTACAGTTTAGTTTGGACTTCACTTTCGAAGTCAATTACTACAATTTTAACAAACACCGGACTTCATATTCTTAACGCAGAGTAATCTTATTACGACGATGATCATATCATGCCAGTTTGGCACTTGGTGTTCATCTTTACAAGATTCCTCAACATTTATAGTTTCATAAAAAAAAAATAAATAAATAAATAATCGGGAATAATTTATTATAAAGTGAGGGTGTGAGATTTTATAAAATGTAAATGCCGATGTCGATGTAAGTCTATCAAAAAGTCTCTTGTATTGTAACTATTTTCGCTCCGTTTAAATTGTCATCTACTTGTACTAATTTCGTTAATAAGCACGATGGATGATTAATAAGACCCTTTCAATGATCTACATGCAGCACTACAATGATCACGCCTCTGCTTCTGAATTTCACCCAAAACGATCAAAACTGATTTACGTAAAACTGTGCAATAATAAAGGTTGATCCTTCAATCGAATCAGTTCATTATTACAATTGTAAATGCAAATTTGCATGTTAACAATAGTGCGAAATGCTTCTTGAGACCAAACAAATGATGCTTTTGTTTGAAAAATCATTTGCAAAGACTGTGCCTGCACAAAACGTGCTAATAAATCTTTATATTTATTGCATTAATAATGTACCATTATATTATTTATAATGATTTTATGGTATATGTACACCGTTAAAAATTCATTCGTATTATAAAAGATATTTAATTTCTTTTCCGTCAACATGTAAATGAAAGCTCTATTATAGTAAATAAAATATTATAAAGAAATTTGTATTCGTAAATTAATTAGCTTATAAATCGGTTGGCGCTACTTTATGTTAATAATGCTAATAACATCATAATCTAGTATATTAATATTATTGTGGAAAAAGAATAAAAATAAAGATAACTTCAGGGATATGAAAGCACACGAGCACTAAATTAATAGGTACAGTTCACAGTTAATATTTGCTTCTGTAATTTATTTTAGATTATTAGTGAAATTTATTTCACTACCATTTTCCCTTTCAGCTTCTAAAACGTAATGCCCATGTAATACAGAAATACATTTCGGTACTGGCCTTCTTATATAATCATCAATACTTAGATTCTACTTTATTTTCATACCTATTTATTCGAAAAACTATGTTGGAAAATTAATTATCCAAGTAACGTTTTACCCTGCTTGACTACGCGTAATATCAAATTGATAAATCACTTAGATACAAAAGAATATAAGAAATTGTGCGTTAGCCTACACATGTAAAATTGCCAACGCTTTTCACACCAATGCAAGGAAATCCCAATTCACGAGTAACCAATGCATCAGCTATTGCACCGAAATGAAAAAGAAAAGCGAGTGACCACCCTGAAAAGCCAACAAATGCACTCATTGTAATATGAAGAAGTCCACAAGTTCTTGCACCTCCGAAAGCTTTCAAATTGTCATTGAACACGCGGTTGTGCACTAATTCTCACCTGGCAACGAATATGTTCTCAATTTTTTAAACGGTGTACACATCTTATACATTAAATTGTAAATTGTCTTCAGCACTTTACATTCCCATTCATTTTCCAAAGTGCATAGAGGCGAAAGGCTCACCACTCACGTTAGCGCGAAAGAGAGATTGAGAGAGATTGAGAGAGATTGGGGGATTGAGAGATTGAGAGAGTGAGAGAGAGAGAGAGAGAGAGAGAGAGAGAGAGAAAGAAAGAGAAGAGTAGAGGTTGCACCGAGGAGCAAACAGTGGCGTAAATCTTGCCAGCGGGAAACAACGGACCCCGTATTTCAAGGAAGGTCCATCGGGAGGAAAGGCTTATCGGGCCCTCGTAATTCACGTGGTCGCGTGCACCAAGTTTATCGGTTAAATTTTATACGGGCTTTTTTTGTAGGGGATGGGCGGGGGCGGGCGGGAGGGAGATAACGGAAAACGGCGAGCGCGATGTCCATTTCAAGAGACTCGGCGGAACGAGAATTGGAAGGAGGAACGACTGTGAGGACATGTAGTTACGGAGCGTTTGTCATGCGGTTTCTACCGGATGATCAATGTAGTGAATCACTATTAGAATCCCTCGATTATTGACTGATTAACGGTAATAAAAGCCGGAGATTCCATGGAATATCCGTACTTCTACTGCGCAATACATCGAGTTCCTTCGAACTATTGCTATTATGTGGAAACAAGAATATTTCCATGTACTTCTATAGGAGGGAGAGTAGATATATTGATCTTATGAAAAATCGATTTACCTTGGCAAATATCAATACATTAACAGTGAACAGAGTGGCCGTTAGTTTCATGAGATTCGACGTTATCCGATCACGCCTCGGCTCGTATACTTTACGCTTTTCTTCTCGTCATTGGATGATCTCCAAAGTCTGACTAACGGATCACCGTCATAAATATTCTAACTTTATAGGCACATTAATTATTAATGCTCGCAGATAAACGTATAAAGAGGGGCCAAACGCTACGCGGCGAGCGATTTTAATCTCCGAATCTGTTTAGCTTTTACGCCCGCGATTCACACAGAAACATCCTATATGTTAACTAATCCACATAAATTCATTTCGTCCCCGTTCGTTACAAGTCTTTTTTATTCGAACATGGATTTTCATTCGACGACACGACTGCTGACGAAAACTTAATAAAATGCGTTATATCGTCAGTAGCGCACGAATAAGCTGGCCGTAAGTGTCAAAGTGTCAGTATATCATGCGCGCAGTCTCGGTAACGGCAGTTGAGTACCATCTCCATTACGATCCCGAATATGCCTCTAGAGATTATCATTTCTGCGTGCTTCTCGAAAGTCGAAGCCTGAAAGCAAGTCGCGGTTAAGCGAGGAAACGCGCACGCCAAAGTAGGCTCTCGGTAGAATCTCCTCGGTGCAACGTTGAACGATGGAGATAAAGCAGCGACTGATTTCGAGGGGACGAGGCGCCCCGGTTTTCTCCCTCCAGGTGACGCGACTCGTCTGGACCTGGATGGCCTTCTGTACATAGGGGGTGTTGGTGCGCCATTTGCTCCGCTCACGATGCCGCCTATCCTCTGGACGGGGAGCCTCCGTCAGGGTTACGTTGGCTGTATGCGCGACCTCGTCATTAATGGACAACCCGTCGACATTGCTGGCTACGCCCAGCAACAGGACTCGGGTGAGTAGTCGAACTATGCCTCCTTCACTCTACGTGGCCGTCCCTTTTTTACATTCTAGCTCGATTTTCTTTATTTTCGTATATCAGCTGGGCTTTTAAAAGCGCATCGCTGATGAGGAAGGCGACAAACTCTCGACGAAAAATGCGCGGTTTCAGCTTTAACTAATATGCTCGAGATGAATCAAGAATGAAATGTTTCGCTTAAAAGAGATTGCGAGTTTGATGAAGTATTTTAATTTATTGCCAACAAACATTGCCAAGAATTTAATTTTCTTGAGCTAATTACAATAATGAAAAATGCATAATGTCAATAAATAAGGAAATATAGTTGTAGAAACGGCATCATAATTGAAATAAATTATACTATTCCTAACAAACGTTAATAATTCTGTTGATTATAATTGATAAATAGAAATTTCTCATGAATTCCATTTTGAAATTAATTATTCCCAGCAAATTGCTTGGACAATATTTTGTTAACTACTAATTTTACGTTTAATGATATTTTATAGTACACTATTATATTCATTTGTAGCGTTAACTAAGCATTTTTCATATTAACCACACACACACACACACACACACACACACACACACACACACACACATATCAGATATAGATCATATAATATACTAGGACATATATGTACTACAATAAGTTCAATATGATTCCATTTGCATCAATATTATGTTCAACGATTATGCAATTTGTATCATATGTAATTATATTTCAAATAATAATATATCAGATAAGTATATTACGTAATATAACAAATATAAATATAATATTAGCGTGGATAATATAAAATATATAAATTATAAAAATCGTCCTTATACATAAAATTTTAAGAACGTGGATATTAAAATATATATATATAATATATAATATAAAATATAAAAAATATATAAAATATATAAAATATATACTTAATGATACTTAATTAACCTATAAATAATATTGATAATATCAATTTAAAAATATACATATTTATAATTAATTTTCATTATCAGCAATGAATGATTAATTTTTAAACAACTTTTCGTTGCTGTATGAATAATAATATATTTAACTGATTTTCACTGACATGAATCTTCATGTTATTTTTATTGCGTCTCTGCTCCCTTTTATTTCATAAAGCTAATATTCGTATTGACATTAGTTAAATATTATTATAACATAATTGAATATATATATAATCGAGCTATTACGCGGTGTAAATTTCATCATTTTTTCTTATTCGGAACTCCGAAATGCAATTAGTTTGTCACGAATCGATAGTATTGCGCCATTATATTCGATAAATTTTCTATGCGGGAAAAAGAATCGATTTAGACAATACGTTTCCCAGCTGGCTAACCGTATTTTTGCAATTCATATGACGATTGATTCGATGTTGAATACGAATTCCGCCTCATATTCTCCAAAATGCTGATGTACTCAAGACAGATTTTTTAGCCGTTGAAGTTATCTCTCTTACTCAAATGTCATTTTTCCCTACTGCGTATGTTAATAATAAAAAGGGCTACGGAAATATTCACGTAATGAACGCAGCCAGTTTATAATAACAGAAAAGAAAGAAAAATATAGCTTTTTTTTAGAAGTACTCTATTACGCCTTCCACTGGAATTAGCGAAGCATAAAAAATTGTCCGTGACCAGTTCACTTGATGCATTGGGAGTAATCACTTTATATTCGTTTTCAGTGAAAATGATTAGATATCTGGTTTGCCCCTACAACTCCCTCGATACAATATAACATTTAATTTTCTTCTATCTACTCTATAGCGCAGAATAATTTTTACATATTTTGTACGCTTAGATGCCCAATTTTAACGTACATAATGACTATTTCTTTTTTTACAAATTCACAAACACAATTATTTCCAATCAATGTGCAATCATAAATTTCAATATTCTTCTATTTAATTTCAAAGCTTATATGGTAAATTTCATCGTTTATTTTTTTCTGCCTGAAACTTTTAATTTATTTTATACTCTCAATTTAAATCTCAATTTAACTAAATTTGTTTCTACTATTTTAATCGGAGAATCAAACTATTTCATCATTGTTCATCTTTGCTCTTGTATTATAATTGTAAATCCTAAATGTCCCTTCGCATGTAATATTATTCTACTCGAACTATATATTTACAAATTTTATAATTGTTTATTAAACATTACCTTAAAAATTATTATAATTACGATCATTGGTGTATCTCACAATTAATTTTTCAATTAAATAATTAATTTTTCAATCGCTACTTTCCTATTTTCGGGAAATATAAATCATAATCATTTTTTTATTATTGCATATAGCCATTTTTCTATAAACATATCTTGTTTGAAATTTTACCTCAATATAAATCTTTAACGTTCGTCGGCTATACACTTTATAAGACCTAATTTTGTAATTAAATAACATTACATTTAGTAATATGAAGAATCCTACAGTCCTATTAAATCACTCACGTATACATACATTATAAGATACCAAATTAATGAATTAATCAATACAATGTCCAAGTTTGTATATTTGCATTAATTAGTTGCTGTTTCTGAATGTTTTATTTTTAGCAACATAATTATTATGCAAGTCTGAATATTTGTAAAATAAGATACGAATTTTGAATTCACATATTACAAAATATAAATAATAAGTATTATGCAAAATAATAATCTATGGCTTGGTGATGTTTTATACAATACATGTTCTAGTTCATCATTCACTAATTTTTCGTTTTCAAATCGATAGTTCCTTCCACATTTATAATATTTTCGTGTTTCATTTGAGCGATACATATTTGCATTTGAATAGTACCTTAGCATAAAAAGCAAGATTGGAGAAGAAGGATAGAGCCTATCCAGCATCATTATACTCTGAAATTCGCATACTTCCTATCGATATTAGTTTCCCAGATTATGTTCTTTTCGTTTAAAGTATATCTTATGCACAATTTAATTATAATAATATAGTAAAGACATTTATGTGTTCGAATATTATAGATTTGAGCAATGTTGTATTAGCTTTTGCTACGATTACGATTCTATAATCAATCGAAATGCCCGCAACCGAAACTTAAAATTAATCAATTCGATGATGAAATTTCACTTGAGCAATCAACTATTATCGAGAAATTAATAATATAATATATGTAAATTAGGAAATAATTTTATTTTTACCAAGTATTTTACTACGCAAAATATGGGTTTACAACTGCAGTATTAATTTTCATTTATTTCACTGCACGAAAAGACCTACATTGCAACCACGTGTACTTTATATTTACGACATATCCGAGTATCTTTATTTCTAGATAATTATAATGATATAAAATTTCTGAAAAAAAGATGTTTCATATATTTTATCAAACTATAAAATGGCTATTAAATACTATTTGTATCTTAGTTTATTTTATAAAGGTGTTCAACTAATCCTTGCATCTACAGATAAAATATTTTCAGTACGTGTAAAATTATTTAATAATTTGGACTATTTTAATGGACATATATCAATGTTTACATATAATATTTATCAATTACATTATTAATTTATTTTACAAAATTATGTGAACAAATTCATTCGTTTCATATTATATTTACTTTTAAAAATGAAAAACAATATTACATGCACTTTTAAATTCATTAAAATGAGAAAAATTATCTATGGCTATTTAATAATTAGTGATATTAATGATACTGCAATTAACAACCGCAGTACCGCAGTCGAACTTCATATTATTAGAAATCTGTAACAAAAATAACATCATATTTCGTAATGGCTTCTTGAATTCAATTTTATTCTCGTGCCTCCACCACCACCACCCCCCCCCCTCTAAGCTTAGTTTTTTGAATGATGATCAATCTCTCGTAGTTGAAATATACAACCCTTTATAATATATTTGTTACTATAAAATATGACACTTTAAGTAAATGTCTATCTTTCATATTTCTTATCGCTTTGTTTTTTTTTGTTTTTCTCAGATTCGTGATGTCTCATAGAGTTACGCAATATTTACACTTACTTCCTACTCTATTTTTTAAATCTTCTTTTTAAATCTCGTATATTTTAAGTAAATAGCAATCTCCGATCATAATTGTCAAATATTGACATTAAAATAATTTTTTTAATATTTACAGATTTAAAAATCAAGCATATGTTATCATCAGCGTCGATAAAAATTTTTAATTTATTTACATTGCAACTGAAATGAAATATTGAGTAAAGAAAATTTTAAAGAGAAATGTGTTTGATCATTTATGTTTTATCCGAATAAATTAACTTAAAGGCTGTGATTGTAAATGGTTGAGAAATAAGGGCTAAATTACTTGTTTTTTTCACTGGCGCATGCCACTATTTAAATATCTTTGCCCGATCTCGACCTAACATTCTGACGTTAAAAATACCAGAAATTTATTATAGTTATTATATGCTACCGACTATCGTAATTGATAATGGTTGTACAATTTCTGTTATAATTAATTTAAAAATGTAACTAAAGTGAAAACGTAACATCATGTCCCACCGCTACACTAATCTAATTACATTCATTATCATTGAATATAATACGGAACGAGAAAATACGCGACCCTTGAGAACCAAATATGATGCTTAACTCTTCTAGAATATTATAATTAAATGCTCATGAGGCTGAAATTAATTCGTCTAAGTTTTGCCGGCCTATGCATCAAAGTAAAAATAAAATTATGTTTAAATTAAAGAGTAAAACCAGATTGAATAATCATCAAGTATAAATTTATGTAAAATTAATATTTCACAAACCGCTTAAATCCATTATCTGTATTGTAACTTATTCCATTTAATCGTATTAATGGTTTCCTGTACAGCTGTACTGGCGATTCATTCATTATTCAAATAGTCCATAAAATTATATTTAACAAATCATGCGACGTATAATTAAGCCAAGATATTCTATTGAAGATTAGTTTTAAAACATGAGAAACTATAAATTTGCGTAGGTGATTTTCCAAGAGTAACGGATAAATCAATTACCTGGCGTCGCATATTAATGTCGGACATTTTACTTCTAAAATGACGGGCACCTTAATGAGCCTGAAGAAGCCCTCGGAATGCGTGTTTGACCGAGGATCCAAGGCATTCGCGATTAGTGAGCGACTATGCCTTGGATTTCTCGTCGGATGTTTAAAGATCGATTTGACAATCCATCATAAATAACCAGGCGAGTGCATGGCTGGCATAGACAGGATATTTCGCGTAAATGACCATGCCCCCGGCCGATATCGAATTCCAATGAAATATATTAAATAACCTTGCAATGTGTCGCTCTAGAAAGCGACGCGACATTCTGTTATCGAGCAATTGCGGATCGCGCATTACCAATTTCTCACGAATCCGTCATCGAAAATAAAAGTCAAAACAACAAGGACCCCTAAACAACGTGTCCTCGCATTTCCAGGAGCGGTCAGACCTGCCTGCCACGTCCAAGGCCCGCACTGCACCTCCCAACCGTGCATGCACTCTGGGCACTGCCTCGAGGGTTGGAACAGATTCCATTGTGACTGCACAGGGACTCCCTTCACCGGTGCCACCTGCGGCAAGGGTAATTATATCAAAAGTCAATTGATGTTTGCGATCTCGCGTGCGCAAATGATACGACGAACGGCAGTCAGCAGATGACGGCTCTGATGCCGGAGGACTCAAGGACTCAGGCCGAAGAGCTCGTCGTCAGGTTCAAGACGACTAAGCCCCGGGGATTGCTACTGGCTACGAGCCTCGAGAACAGCGTCGACCGGCTTCAGATATCGCTCGAGGACGGGAGTGCGAAAGCGCTTGTGCACATCGACCATCAGGAGAAGGTACGTTTATCGTCTTCAGGTATATATTGAGTCGAGTGGAGCGGCGACAATTGCATTCACGACTGGCTGTAAACGTCGTTATTTCTTTGCTGAATAATAGTAATGATTCGCGCGATCGTCAGCTTAATCGATGGATTTGTTATAGCATTGCCAATAGATAAATATCGAATGCATAATGAGGGAGCGAGTTTGCGCTTGAAAAGTGAAAGGTTTTTTAAGTTTGGTCAATGGATTTGAAAAGAAATGTGTTGAGAATTCGAACTTTACTTTTCACCGGCCATGTCACTTAACCCTTTCTAACGAATATATTTATGTTAATTTCTTATATATCTCGTCATATTTCGTAATAATATCTAATATTTCTTAGAAAATATTCAAATCATGATGCGTGAGAATAATTTAATATAACTTTTCTTTTGACAGAGTATTTTTATTTAATGAATAATAACGTAAAAATGTCATATGATATTCCGAGTTTTAGAACAAAATTAGATGATAAGGTTGATAAACTTGTATCGAAATATTAGTATAACGTACAAATTCTTATAGTTATTAGGCGAAACATTCTTTTATTTCAATGTATCATCAAGGTTCAAAAAGTATGGCTACTATAGTGTTTACGTGATCCCTAAAAAATTTCGTTTCTCCGTAAGAAATTTCCCTAAAAATTTCTTTGCACTCAAAACAGATGGCAAGTACCGATTCGAAAATTATATTATTCTATTCTGGTCGTGGAATTTGATATTAGAGGAATAAAAGGAAATTGGATACCGAGTTAGAATTTTTAAAATGTCTTTATCGAATGGTAGTAATCATAAAAAAAGTTCGAAAGAAAAGCACTCGTATAATAAAATGTGAATTTTTAAATCTCCAAAAGTTAAAGCTGTGGAAAATAAGAGTAAAAAAGGACAGGCATAAAATTGAAAAAGGGGGTTTGATGACTGTATTAAAAATTTAGATATCTATAAAATCTCAGAAAGCCTTGTAATGAGAGCGTCGATAGCTTAACAACGCACATTTCGGCGATTAAAATATCTTACACCACGTTTATTTAAAATTTTACTCTATTGAACTTGGCACTTTTCTAATATGCCTACGGATAATATGTAACAATATGTAAATACCTACTTATTTGGCAAGCTTAACCTACGTAACCGAGATACATTTTCGTCGTTCATCGATAATATAAATTACCATAGATGTAAATCCATACATAGCGTTCATCGATATATATGGGACGAGGTGGCGAGTCACCGAGGCGAAAATAAAAAGTATAATAGCAGGGATGCGAGTGAGGTGTTGAGTGATTCCGAGCCCAGAAGAGTAAAATACTTGTGTAGATGGGATTTGTAGGAAAGATGAGAAAAGTGCCGAAAACTGTGCAAGCCTACAGCGAAATATTAGTGGCTAAGGCGATCGTATTACACGAGAATGTTTCAATCTTCATATAGAACGGCTCGATAATTGAACGTAATAATTAATGCGGGAATGGGGGATTATCTATTATATATCATGGAGGAACCGCGTGCCGGATCGCGAGCCAATGTATCCAGCTCTTAGCAAACCTTAGGGACGAAAGAAGAATGAAATGCGAAATACGAGCCTAGATTTCACAAGCCATCGCAGTTGAATCGATCACCTGGACGCATCCTCGCCCTCTCCCCACGCCCCCTCGTATCACGCCACCCTTATGTATCGCCGGCGAATTCATAATTAATCGAAGGGTCAAAGTGATAATGATCACGCGAATTAGCCCTCGTTATTTGAATGTGCTCTAGTGACTGCGACGAGGGCGCTCGAAATTCATTTTAGCGATTATTATCTGGCCGCCCCGATGTATTGTTCGCGAACGCTTGCCTCTATAACTATGTATATGCTTGGCTCTTTTTTGCAGGTGATAGTGACTGGACAGGGGCTGAACGATGACATGTGGCACACGCTGAGGTTTTCGCGCCGAGCCAATGCAATCAAGTTCCAAGTCGACGACGAGGCACCGATAAGAGGTACATTAGCGGCAAATGACGCTGCAAAAATCCTATTCTCTTTTGCCCGTTTTCATCCCTTCGTAGCGCACAAAACTCCATTCCCTTCGAATTTCAGGAAATCCAATGAAAATTTATCGAATGGGTTGGGACGCCACCGCTATTAAGTTTGTAATGCTGCCGTAAAATGTTATGCTCCGTTACTTTAAAATGTAACAGAAGTAAGCATCGATTACCCAACTGATCCTTTACTAAAACTGTAGCAACAATTTTAATTCTATCAAGAGATCTAAATATTTATTTGAAGATCGAGGACTCCAAGTAAATATGAAATCGTTATTAATTCTATACTAAATAATACTGTGAAATGAAATACATCCATTTGGAAACGATATTCGAGCGAAATAAAAGTAATATGCGAATAATAGATAGTAATACCTGTTATCGAATCAGCAATCGTTTGTGCATTATCGTTCACTTCCGCTATTGGCCTTGAAATCTCTCTATTAATTGATAAAACGAAAAAACATTGAGTGAATTGTATAAGTCAATAATATAAATGTGCTCAAATAATTATAACCAATTATCATGGCGTATAAAATCACATAAAATATTTTATGCAAAATTACAAGGGATATTTTTTAAATTACGAATGATAAACAACCTATTAATGAAGCATTGATTTTTCATTACAATTATATCTTTCGAGCTTTCCAATAGTCTCAATATATTGTCCAGCGGCGATGTTGGCTTTTTCGTAGATTTTGTAGAGTTTGATCTATGCGAGTGCAAGAGCTACGGTATTATATGAAACTGAAAATGATATTACCGTAAATCACGAATAATATAATATTATCTCGAGCTAAATGTACAAGAGAAATTCGAGATCGCTTCGTAAATTATTTTATAATATTTTTAAATTATCTTACAGCTTTTCGTTTTCATTTCTTCTTAAGTAATTTAAAATAAAAGAATGAACGATAATAGAATAATGATAGTAATACAATGAATTTCACTTGGAATATTTTAAATAAGGACTAAGGAATTTTATTTTATCTGGGGAAAGTTTTTGAAGAGTTAAAGAAATTTTATAAAATATTTTTAAGCTCGAAAGATGAAGGCAATAGAAAAAGGAAAAGACCGTTGTCTTGAGAATTGGCTGAATAGTCGAGAGAGAGAGAGAGAGAGAGAGAGAGAGAGAGAGAGAGAGAGAGAGAGAGAGAGAGACAGAAATAGGTAAGCGGATTGACTCATGTGCAGTCAACCACTTTTATGCATCCTGAAGTTTTTGCATATTTATTGGAGCGCTTCGGGTCAACTTCCAACGCAGAGCTTCAAAGCTTTTGTATCGTTTGTCCTCGCAATACGAATAATCGGACCGACAAAATTTCTCATATTTCTAAAGCTCGATCTATGTCAATGGTAAATGTTCCGAAAAAGGTTTGCCTAACTTTTGTTCGAAGAAAAGCCCCGTCGCCAAGTTTAGCTTCATTTTTTATAATAATCTGTTTTTCCCTGGCTAATGCAAAATAAACTTTAAATTGCATTTCAACCCAATCATTGCGTTCGTTAATAAAATGAATTCTCACGCATTTCGAATCTGCAGAATACTAATAAAATTTAAACTTATCGTGTATAAAGTTGAAAATAGTTCCGAACCATGATCGGTTTCCTCGTAAATAGCATAATTGCAATACGAATAATAAAATCATTGCAATATCTAGAGTTTCTAACTTTACTTGCGAAACTTTATTTGCGATACCGTAAATGAGCAAAGTAATTCCTTATCTGATTACATTTTTTTTTTTTTTTTTTTTTTTTTTTTTTTTTTTTAATATTGCTACCAATTTGAGAAAGTTCTTGCGTATAATTTTCCCACCTTTAATATACCGGCGATGCTTTCCAGCACATGTCGTCGTTAAATGTCCGTATACGGTTTCTCGCTCGGCAATAAAAAATCGTCGATCTTCGCAGCAAAGTTTAACGGCTATTTGAAGCTCACCATGAAAATCGTGTCTGTACCTTCCATGTCGCAGAAACAGAAATAAAAAAAAAAGAATCTCCCGGAAATTCACTCTGCTCAAAAGCTGGACTAATTTTCGACGCTTAACAGATAACACAAACTAATCGGGGCCTAGCGAGTTAAAATGAAATAGAGAAGCCCAATCTATCTAAAAAATAAGGACAGAGCTTTTAATACCCGTTTGGCCTGCAATCGACGACTGGACGAACGTCGTCCATCCTACCGATGTCCAATAGGGGACACTTTCCACGGATACCCCAAAAATGTCGCTCTATCTACGATTTCTCGATCTCGGAAAAAAAAGAAGAAAAATAAGCGGGAGGGGGGGGGGGGAAGCATATGCTTTCTCATCCTAAATTCTGCCACTTTCAACCTCTCGTGCTAAGGCTCACGCGATATTCTCGTGCCCGTTCGTAATCTACCGAAGAATATGGTTTCAATTAGCATATGCACGAAAGTCCCTTCTATAACGACTTCTCAACCTCCGTTCTCTGGAGTTACTTGACAGCCACCAGCTTAGACAGGGAAGGTTATTCGAAAACACGCAGAATGAAGGAGTCGAGTACTTCCGTGGCATACGAAAAGACGAGTTCTGAATATTTTTTGCTTCCCGATTTATTACAGAGAGAGAGAGAGAGAGAGAGAGAGAGAGAGATGGGATGAAACAAGACAAAATCGATAAGAATGCAAATGTTCAGTCGATAAATGGAAGAGTTATTTGCGAGAAATTTACCGGTCTCTTTTCCATTTCCTCCGAGGTTATTGGAAGTAGGCTCGTCGTAGCTGAGAAAGACCTCATTATCAATTATCTATTTCCAACCATTTTTCCGATTTACTCCTTTCTCTTATCTGGTACATGCCAAAATCGAGCACTTGCCCATTTGTGATGTACTTCTTTTACACTCTCGTACGCGAATATATTAGATAAAGCTTAAAGTTACGTCCAGTCATGTACAAGTTTGCGAACTTCACATGTATAATACTAAAAGAATTTGGAACGGCAGAAAATAGACGGATAGAGTAATGAGAGATTGTTTTGATGACAAAGAAAGAATTTTAAATGAGCCTCGGTTTACCAAAAATTCTGGAAAAATGTTTGTAACTCAAGCGAACGCCAGTACGAGAAATCTTCCGTCGCTCGTTGCTGCACAACATTCAAAGCTCAAATAAATAGTAGCGAGTGCAACGTTTCATACGCTCGATAATTGCTCAGCGATGACATAAACGATGCTTCGCAATATTGCAGATTTCAGTATTATGAAAAAAAAAAAATAAATAAATAATAATAATAATAATAACGAATCCATGAGGGAGTGCGGTCAGCTTTACCATATAAAAAAAAACTTCGACACGTGTGGTGGCAAATTTCCAATTTTTTCGCCATAGTCATTTCAATATCCCACATACGACTAAGCGTGAGCGGTAACTAACAAAGAGCTGGCAGAAAATCCTCTCGCTGCAAGAGAAATCCGCGGAAAATGTCGGTAACTCACGGCAGTTCCATTATGCGTTACCGAGTCTCAAAGCGTCTCGCATTTACAAAAGATGCAGCACCAATGGGGGTCACGTGCCCCTTCCCCCGTCTATCTCTCACTGTAAATATCAGTGTGAAACATAGGTAAGTGTTGAATATCGATCCCGATTCTGATTGGCCAATCGATTTCCTTGATTTTACGAAGTAAGGCAATGCTCGGGTTTAATATCAGCGTATGTCAATGGCAATAATACATCGGACGCAAGCCGAGTTTGCCGATAGACGATGCGGACGCGAGCCGACAGGATTGACCGATTAAATGTGCGCGAGCGAACGTCAATATTGAGTCGACGGAGCTGGCGCGAACTAATTCCAACCTCCGGCCTCCCGTCGACAAATAGCTAACAATGTCGGGTGACCCTCTCTACGCACACAGTCGACAAACAGATTCTCTTCTCATTTCGGATGTTGCAGCCGAGGCGATGCTGGGCGAGAAGAACAGCCTCGTCTTCAGGACGCTCCACGTTGGCGGATATCTACACTCCGGCGAGGAGATACCCCACTTCGTTGGCCTCCTACAGCAGATCTGGTTTAACGGATATCCGTACCTTGAGATAGCGAGGAACGCGGGCACGCATCAAACCTCCCATCAGGGTCTTACACCTATAATCCGGCTCAACGGCAAGTACGAGAAGCGCAACCATCCGGTCCACCATCCCGTCACCTTTACCTCCAAGCACACATTCGTCGGCCTGCCGGTGCTCAAGGCCTACGTCGAAACCAACATCTACTTTCAGGTAATATCACCTATCGTTCTATTGCAACGAGCTAAGCCGCAACCGGCTTCGCGTATCACACTTTCTCGACATATCTTCGTTTTTTGTTGGAATTTGACATTATAATTCGTATTCTGGCATTGCGATTGTCCCCCAAGTTTGCATTAGCTATGGCCTGATTGCTTTCGGCCTGCGCTCCGCCCGATTATACGTTTTGGCAGATATCAGTTTGCTCAATTGTCGAACTTACGGCTATTATAATATTTAACTGCGCCACTTCAATGCGCCTCATTGTTCAACATTAGCGCGCAATATGTTAAGTTTTTGGTTTATCGATTGACCAATAATAGCACGTGGATATTATTACAGAGGCTTATGTATGAGGTATATATTATGTAGACGCATTAAAAACTTTGCTTGTGAGTTGAAAGGGTAATTAACGCGGTGTTAGACACTTTTCAAACTTTTCTATATCGTTCTCGAATAACGATATATAAAAGTGAACAATTACGTGTGATTATTATTTGCATTAGCATTTTTCAGTCGAGTATATATACACGGAGCTATTTAAAATATTTGCATTTATGGGAATTAATGCCCACATAAATATAAAAAAATCAATCAAATTAAAAGTTTTACACCGTCTATAAAAAGAAAAGGTAAAAAAGTTTGAAATAAATATGCCTTTATGCGAAATATTATAATTCAACTATTTTAATAACTTCGTACATAAATTAAACTTACGATATTAATAATGCAAGGAAATAATCATTAATGTCAATGTCCACTCGACTTTCGATGATAAACGCGTTTTTATAGGGGAAGAAGGTAGAATAGAATTGAAATGGCATTTATTTTCCAAAATTTCGGAATACAACTATTAAAGTTACGCTGGCTGAATAGATTTTATCCAAATTTACAGATTCATGCTTGGGATAGCGATCTAATTATACGCACCTCTAATACCCAAAATATTTGTTACACGTGCTTGTATTTGACAATGGATCTGGTAAGTCAAAGTCCAGTTAAAAGTGTAATTTCAGATATGATATACCGTTATGGCATTAATTAACACAATGTAAAAGCATTTTCAATAAGATGATATATTCCATATTAGAAACGAAAATGTAATTTCTCACGTTTAGCTTAAAGTAAAAGTAATATAGGTCAAGATAAAATAGTTCTCAGCAAGTTATTCTTCTTTTAATTGTTTTCAAATTAGAATTTACATTCTACTACTTTTCAACTATTGTCGAAGATATTTTCAGAATGATATTCCATCATCGTTCTTTGCAATAAGCATTCGAGAATAGAGTATCATTCGCATAATCAAAGAGGAATATGTACAAATTCATATTTCTAATTATATTTACCATATTATAAACCTCATTGTACTATATTTTAAAAATTAAGAACGTACGATAATATTTCGTAATTTTCTAATAATATTTCACAGTATGAATGTATCGAAGGATTCACAGGGGACTAACGTAAACAATAGTTTATTAATGAATGATACATTAATTTTATCCAAGTATTAATATAGCCATTAAATATTTCAACAGACGTACAAATAGATATACGCTTTTTGAAATTAAGAAATATACGCATTGATCAATTTATAATTGAAAGTAGTCGTTAATTGATTCAGATTTAAGACTGCTCAATTTAGAATAAAATAATTATAATTATATCAACAAATGCATTGACATTTCAATGTGCCTAATTTAATTAAAAGAAAAATAATTTTATATTTTATAATGTCAAATGGTTATAATCTTAATAATACTTCTACATATATATCATTGTATATAAAATTTACTAATAAATTTTTTATAAAAATAAAATATCATTTTCTCTAATATATTTAATTGATATATCTACATGATTATACTATATTCCTTCTTTCCTTATTTACTTTAAATAATTTATTTATTATTTATGTTGAAGTCCTTGTTATTGTTTTAATATAATACTTTGCAACTTGTTTCAAAGCGACCCACTCCCAAATAAATTACCGTACATTTTATATCGCTTTAAAATATCAATTATTGTTGCTTTAAATTCACATGTGATTAAAATAATTTAATCATAGCAACAATTGCTTTTCATGCAAGAATTTTCTTTTAAAAATCACGAATAGTAATATTAAATTACAATTTATCTACCAAATAATAAATTAGAACAAATTCATAATTGAATTTAATGAGCATTCCAAAGTTAACCTAATTTGAATAGAAAAATTGATTAAAATATTCATTTATTCTTTAATTACTTTATTTATTACCATAAAAAATTAAAAATTAAATTAAATTTAAACTATAAGATTGTGTATACAATCGCTGAACTTTCTATATATATATATATATATATATATATAATAGTTATACATTTGACTATTACATGCATCATAAATTTCATTTTTTTTAAGTATTATTTAAAAAATAAATTTTAATTAATTATAAAATAATTCATTAATCATAATGGATATTTTTGTCTAAGTCAAATACTCTTCTATATATTAACCAGTGTATTAGATAAGTTACATAATTATTGAATATTAATCTCTTATAATTAGTTCCGAAGTACATTTGAAATAATTTTTTAGCAAATATGCATTAATTGACAATGTACTGTAAGAATGTTAATTAAAAATAAAACGTTTAATGATATGACAAAAAAAAAAAAAATAAATAAAAGAAACTTGTTTAATATTTCGAAAATGAATTTGACTGCAGTATTCACTTATGTAGATTAAAAACTATATCTGTCCTTACTACAAATACAATTAGAAAAAAATATATAATAGTAAAAGAAAACAAGGCTACGTTATCAACACATTAAATTAATCGTAATAGTTAATATCATTTAAGTGAATTACTCACTGGAAAAAATAGTATGAAAAAGGAATTGATGAATTTGCTATTATCTAAGAATGGCATAGATAGTGTACAAGACATGTCTGCATGTGTCGTATGATCTAATGACATTCACAATTTAGACTACATTCAATAATAAGAAATTAAAGCATCAAAACCTCTGTTTGGGTTTTTGTCAACGGTCTATCATCTAAAATCGATCGCTTCTCATCGATAAACACAATAAAACAAAACAAAATAAAAATCCCCTTCTCAAACATATCCTTCATTTTTTATTGTTTTGTTTTTACAGTTCAAGACAAGGGAACCAAATGGCTTGATCCTATACAACGCAGGTCGCGAGCGCGACTTCATCGCCGTGGAGCTCGTTAATGGCCACGTGCACTACGTATTCGACTTAGGCGATGGACCAGTCAGAATTCGTGACAGCACCAAGACTCGGCTCAACGACGGCAAATGGCACGCGGTCAGCATAGCGAGACCCGCACCTAAGAGGCATACACTGGCCGTGGACGATCACGTGGCCGTTATTAACAGTCCCGGGAACAATGAAAATCTCGATCTGGACGGGATACTTTTCATTGGTATGGCGAGGCTTTCCGCCGTTGTCATTCTGAATTCGTATCCCGATTAAATTATTAATGCAATTGACAGTGCACATCAACGGCCTCATACTGTGTTAAATTGCATTGATATAATTTTTATGAATTCTTATGATGTTAAAGAAATAGTGATGTTGAATTAACTAGATCTATTTGATTAAAATTTACTTTTTAATAAAGTAACAGGTTGCACTATAAAAGCTCGTTGTAAGATAATTGGATTAGAAAAGAGAGAATTATAATAAAAGCAATTATGAAAACATTATAAGTATAAATTATTCGTGTATTCAAATGTTACTCGAACACAAAGTTCGTGTACGCAGTAAGTGCACCCGATATAGTAAATATAATTCATTCCTGAAAATAATTACATTTTAAAAAAGGTGAAAAACTTTTTCAACAGTTCAAAAATGTTAAGTCATTACATCAAAGTAGTTTCCCTTCGTAATGTACGTTATAATGATAAAACTCACGGATTTTCTAAAATAGAAAAAAAGGTTGTTTCAAAAGTGTGTTATGCCGTCAGGGCAAAATAGTGCAAACTTACTTATCCACATTTGTAGCACTTTGTAATCAATTGTATAAGTTTAAATATACAAGCTACAGATTAAACGATTATGCTTTGTATGGCAGAATAATGAAATAAATGAAAAGTAAATTAGACTGAATAATAAGAAAGAGAATGACACGCTCCTTCACGCGATTATTGAAACGGGATAACTTGTATGCTTAGGTGGTATGGAGAAAGCACAATATTCACTGCTACCAAAGTCGATAATAAGCCGACATGGCTTCGAGGGATGCCTCGCATCATTGGACCTCAGCGGCGAGAGTCCGGACCTCATCTCCGACGCCGTAGTCCCAAGTTCCCTAGTGGAGTCAGGCTGCGACGCCTACGCGAACCTCCACCCGGGCAAAAAATGCACGCACGACATGTGCTCGAATCACGGCACCTGCGTTCAGCAGTGGAACAGTTACACGTGCGACTGCGACATGACGAGCTTTTCCGGGCCGACGTGTGCCGACGGTACGTCGAATTTTCAGCGCCCGTAGTGAGCGAAGCAAAGCGACGGAAAATATCGATTCTACATTTGCAGAGGCCGCATCGTTCGAGTTTGGCGCCGGACGAGGCCTTATCACCTACACATTTCCAGCCGACAGGAGGCCGGAAATGAAGAGAGACACCTTGGCATTCGGATTCGCGACGACAGCCAACGACGCGGTGCTACTTCGCATCGAGTCCGCCTCGAGCAACGATTACCTCGAGATCGAAATCGTGAGTATATATTATCCATGCGAGCGTAGCTCGATTGACCAGGGCGTTGCACTGCACCTCGACCCTTAACGCTCGCTCGATCTCCAGGTGGAGGGTAACGTCTTCGCGGTATACGATTTGGGAACGAACGACCACCCGATTGGCGAGGTCGGCGTAAAGGTCAACGACAACCAATACCACGTGATAAGATTCACGAGAAACGGAGCGAACAGCACACTGCAGATCGACGACTACAACCTTCAAGCTAATCATCCACAAGGTAAGCTTGATAGCCGGTCTCCCTTCATCACGTGCTAGCGCTCACGAGCGATGAAAAGGAAAGAGGAGCCCGCATCGCGTCTCTCGGCCGCACCCGAACAAACTCCCCTGCGAGCCATCGTCCGACTGACTGTCCAAGGTGCGTCTCAAAGCCACTTTTATGCCCTCGGCGGATTTCTCGCGCAGCGCCGAGCGTCCCTCAGAAACAGCCTCATTGGGCACTTATCTGGTCCCGGTGCTGTGCTGCGCACTCCCATTGGTGGGACCCTGCGCTGATCATCGTGAGAAAGTCGAGCCCGTTATCGTTATTATTATATCTATAGGCGTGGCTTACTCTCAACGACATACGAAAGCCGCTGCTCGCATTTCATTTCGTACAAAATTCCTTGGATGGCTTGGGAGGATGCATTGATTAACATTTCTATCTAACGATTCTGAAATTATTTCCACCGCAGGCCTTAAAAGACTACTTTATAAAAAATATATTAGATGCATTAATAAATTCCCCCTCATTTTTCATCTAAAGATATTTCTACAAGATTAATCAACCTTTTCATGGATCTTAAATTTATTAAATTCTTGGCTTCTACATAAATTAATTTTAATAAAATTAATAAAAATTTAATAAAAACTAACTAGCAAAATAACGCTTTAAAAGAGAGAGAGAGAGAGATAGAGAGAGAAAGATAGAGAGAGAGAGAGAGAGAGAGACAGCTGAGAATTTGATTTGAAAAAATTTCATCAAATAGTACCTCAGCTCTATACTTAAAAAATAACTTAAAACGTATTAATCAAATGTATATTACATAAAAAATAAATAGTATCATCTACTTTTTTTGAAAAATACTATTTTTTAAAATAGTAGAATGCTTATACGGTAATAATCTACAGATGCCTATAAATAATTGTTAATATTAAACAGCGTAAAATTATATCAAAGCGTTTCATTTAAAAAATAAAATTGACTACCTACAACTTACTCAAATTTCGGTTAAAAGCAATGCGCAGCCAGGAATTTCAAAGGAATATATTGCAATGAAGCAGAAGTACGTAATTTATGTGAAAAGTATTATAGATATAATTTAACAGGTATGGAATATATAGAATAAAGTAAAGGACGATTATCATAAAAGAAATGTATAGGGCTGATAAAGAAAATATTATTAAGAACTACGGCGTTGATAAAATCTTAATAAATCTTAATAAAACTCCTGTAAAAAGGGTTATTAAATAAAATTATTAATATTTGTATGTATATATATATATATATATATATATATATATATATATATATATATACATGAACAGTCGATATGATTTCAAATATAAACAAATTTAGTATTTCCATGAGAAAAACTTTGAGTTAAATTTAGTTTAAAGTGTTTCTAACTTTGATAATCATTTAATAAATGTCAGAATTATTTTTAAAGTTTTACTGAATAATGGAGTTTTTATAAATATTATATTAGATTCTAATTTTAAAGGAAAATCCATATAAAATCGAAACTTTAAAACAATTTAATTTTAGCAAAACCCTTTTTTCCTACTATTAGCTTAAATTCTTTATGTTACTTCATTGTGCGCATTAAAACATCAATTTTTAATACAACTCATTGCGCCAGAGTATTCGTGACATTCATTGGGAATGGGATTTGCTTTACGTGCAATGACGTTTTGAGCAAATGCAAATACAAGTGCAAATGCAATTATATAGACCCATATGTAAATGCGACAATATGGCATTGAATTTTGAATTGTATGAGAGTAAAATATAAGAAATCTAATTCCGTCATAATAAAACGTAGGGGCTGCATAACATTTAATGACGCGTCGAGGTAAAAATTCCAAATACGCAAGAACCAAAAATGCACATTTGTAATGCAAATGGGACAAAGTAAGAAAAACTCGGTGCACAAGTTGGATAAGCGGCTGCTGACAAATAGAAGGTCGGAAAAAAGGTTCGGAATAACGGTCTCGGGCATAGGCAGAGGCTCGGAAATTCTAATTCGAAAGCCGACTTAGTCGGGGGCGGACCCAAAAATTCCTTTAGAAAATTGACCTTCTTCGAGCTCCTGCGAGCCTGATTTGAGAAAGCCAGTTAATTGGCTCCGTCTTTTCATTGAGACCACAAAACATCTGCGATGCGGGTGGTCGGGTCTCCGGTCCTTTCAGCTATACAAATAATGTTATGCCCATGAAATCGAGACGAATATTTAAAAGCTCCTTAGTCAAATCGAAGAAACCTTGCTTACACTTCTACGAGCCTGGTTCCATGAGATAAAATAATTGGTTTCGGTTCCACTTGCCCTAGGGCATGTGTAATGTTAGCTTATATAGTCATTAGCTTATATCATCTACTATTCTTAAAAGCAGATTCTCCTCTTTTTCATGAATTGGCCTTTCCATAATATCACCATTAAGAACAATTTTTTATATAAGTGAACAATTATCGTGCTTCATAATTTTTTAAATACTCGTGACTTTGCATAAATCGTAAATTGTTGAAATTATTTAAATTACTTGTATATTATAAACGTGCGTATCCATTGCACATATACCACATTAGAATTAGACAAATTTTCAAAAAATTCAAATGTAATTTCGATCAATTGATCAGGGGTTCTTATTTTCAAAGCACGTAATTATTTTTATTCTATTGCTTATTATTCTTATTTTATTATTGTTGTTGTTGTTGTTGTTGTTGTTGTTGTTGTTGTTGTTGTTGTTGTTGTTGCTGTTGTTGTTGTTGTTGCTGTCGTCGTCGTCGTCGTCGTCGTCGTTGTTGTTGTTGTTCTTATTATTATTACTATTACTATTGTTATTTGTTGTTTACTTTTTATTAATTTATTTAAAACATATTTCAAGCAAATGATATCCAAAAATATAATTGTCTAAATATTTTATTCAAACTCATATTGTTTTGGATATGCTCGGGATGTTCCATTAATCTCCATGCAAAACAAAAGCTATCGAAATTATCTGACTAGGCAATAATAGTATTCCCGTCATTTAGATAAAACGAATTACGTAAAAAACACGCCTTTTCTTGTTCTCACGGCTATAAATTAATCTAAAATATTTCAACAAATTCATTCCGCGAAAATTTGCCACGATTTCAATAAAAAAATGTTCATACTGTATAACAAAGTGTTGATGAATCAGGAAAGCGTCGCATTAAAGCTATTGATTAATGTATATACGCACAATGAGTGGAGCAATGTATTTTAATTAAATGATCTTAAAAGTGGTTTTAAAAAAAATTTTTAATTTAATAGTAAAGAGGATAATTTATCATGCTGAAATCAAAGCAATGAGTGACGATATTTTTGCACTATAAATGTTCGCGTTAGGCGATAACTATTTTGGTTGTTTGGCGTTTTACTTTCAATATAGGCATTTATTTTTGTGCGCTCTTTACCCGATTATATTCGAGTTTGGCTTGTCGTCGTCCCTAATTACTAAACATCAGTCCGCCGTTCTGCACATATTAATCAACACATAAATGCTATTAACAAGATTAACTTTTGCCCATGATTTATCACCTCGCATATTTCGCTTAAACGTATTATAACGCGATAACGCTTTAATGTACTGCACTCTATCAAAACTAATTTGAGAAAAACTTGGAAATAAATAATTGTCGCAAGCCATAGAACTTTTTCAATTTTCACTGGGGGGCCTCCACCGATTTTCATCCATCTCCATTTTCCATTTTTCACGATGAGGGGGAAGCACCGCTTGGAATTTTCTGTTACCCTGGTTCGTGTCCTTGCCATAATTGCTTTCCCTTTTCATCCATGGGCCAGCCATTGAATTTCGGAAAAGCCGTTCTACTCGCTTCGCCCTATACTTGCCTAGTCAACAAGTAAACAAATCTAAGATGTGCATTGTCAGGAGATAAGGGAGATTATTGACTCTAACGACGTTTTGGGGCCACAGGGATTCGAGCGCAAAACGAGAGAAACTCTTCATAAACGGACGCACACTTTTCCCTTGGTACGCAAATTTCCAGAGTAAGCGGCACGCGTATCGTCACTTTCCCATTTTCCCGATAATTTTCTTCCCTGGAGACGGGACAGGTTCCAAGCGCTTTATTTCCCTGCCCTCGGAAAAACTTTTTATTTTTCCACTTATGTTATCCTAGGCTAGGAAAACCCCTCGACTGCATTTCCCTCGATAGGGGGGAGAAAAGTGCATGAGCTGGCTGCATCTAGGGTCCAAGGGCTGTTAGGGAAGTCCCAGTTTTCCACATAATAGCTTCTAGTCTCCTAATAGTGAAAACCTTGAAATGCAAGGAAAAGCCCCAAAGTTTTTCAACCCCAAGACGATTGCTGGGCCGAACGAGCAGTGACGTATCGAGGGGGAGGGGATGGGTTGGGCCGGCTTTTCCACTTTAATTTTCAAATCGAAGGGACCGACGAGGCCCTTCTGCATTCCTAATACCGACCAAGACGTTAATCCGCTTCATTAGTCTTAAGTAACGCCGTAAGGGTCTCACGGGGAAAAGGAAGAAAAGGGACCACCTCCGTAGTGGGAGATGGGTCGGCCGAGCCCTGTGTAGGAGGGGTGCTGCTCTCACACTCGCTCTCTCTCTCTCGCTCTCTCTCGCTCTCTCTCTCTCTATCTATCTCTCTCACTCTCTCTCCCGGCGAGAAGTGTGCCTGCCCCACCCCAACGGTACCGAGAGTTTCCGAAGCTACGGAGAGACGAGGGAGAGAGAACGACAGAGCAAGGAAGACGAGCGAGGGATGGAGAGAGAGAGAGAGAGAGATAGAGAAAGAGAAAGGGAGAGAACGATTGACAGAGAGAGAGACAGAGAGAGAGAGAACGAGAGTGAGTTAGTGAGTGAGTGAGAGAGAGAGCAAGGGGGGGGGTAGAGCACGAATGAGAGAGAAGCGTACGTGCGTACCGGTTTCCACGGGGGAAGGAACGGGCTCGCGGGGCCTCACGGCGCTTATCCTCTTGCCACTTCATGCCTTCCTGCCACTCGTAGGGGAATTC